CCGCCACTGGCGGCCCGCCCCCCGCCACCCTTCGCATCGCCGCCTGGGCGCGCAGACGCAAGCCACGCTGTCCTTCAAAACCATCCTGACGCACTGGCAGGGTGAAGTAGAGCGAGTGCCGAACCCTAACCCCCTGAAACCCTACCCCCTAGACCCCACACCCCTTGGGAGCAGAGCGTGCTTGCCCCTCCTCCCCCAGTGCCACACCTGTGCCGCAGCTCCAGCTCCAGCAGGTTGGCCATCCTCCGCCCCAGCCGCCTCTTCAGCGCCAGCAGCGGCACGATGTGGGGGTTGCACTGGCTCACAATGAAGTGGTTGCAGTTGAACATCTCTCCAAGCAGCGCCGTCGGCAGGTCCAGCTCCAGGCTCCCGTCCCGCCACCGCCGCGCGCCCTCGAGCCCGCCGCCCGGCGCGCCGGCCGCGCCGGGGGCCGCGCCGGCGGCGACCGAGTTGAAGGGGACCTGGTCGCCGCGCGCGTCGCGGGCCAGGATGTCCTGCGGCTGGAAGAGGCCGGGGAAGGCGCTGCTCGCGGCGACGGCGCTCCAGATCAGCGCCTGAGGGGAAGAGGGGGGCGCGGAGGGGCAGAGATGCGCGTCCGTCCGCAGTTGCATCTGCGAGCCCACTTGCACACACATGGAGGCCCGATGAAGCAGAGCACTGAAAACCCAAGAATATATAGAATAAAGCGTGTGATGGAAGGAAAAGCGGAATCGTTCAAGGGAGTGGCGTGTGGAGCCAGCTAGCTTGCCCAACAGACAACCGGCCGGGCGGTCAGGCAGGCGGGTCGGCGAGCGGGCTGGTGGGCGGACGTGTACTCCTCACCTGGGGTGCTGTGAGGTAGTTGAGCAGCCGCGGCGGCTCATTGGTGTCTGCGGGGCAGACCGACACGTTGAGGATGCGGCCGGTGCGCTCGTAGGCCTCCAGGAAGGTGTAGCTGCCCAGTAGCTGCTGCAGCTTGCGCTGTCGGGGTGGCGGCGCGACGGCGTGCGGTTGGTTAGGGACGATGGGGCAAGCATGGTTTTGACGGCCAATAGTGTTTGGGGGCCGGCTCAACAAAGTGCGCGGAGTCTGGTTGATCGGCCCATCTTCTCTCTCAATCAGCACCCAGGCGACTGGCAGCACACCCCTCCCCGCGCACATGCACATTTACGCACGGACACCAAGCCGGCGTGTCGCAGCCGTGGGGGCTCCCCACCTGCAGGAAGGCGGAGTCGTGCAGGGCGCCGCGCGCCAGGAAGTGGCGCGCCAAGTCCACCGTGTGCTCGTTATTGAAGAACGACAGCTCAATCTGGCGGCAGGCAAGCAGGATCGAGGAGGAAGTTGTCATTGAGGAGATGAGCTTGATCGGTGAAAGGGGTGGCGGCTGCGCGGCCGGCGCAAAAGCTCCGTCTGTGCGCACACCATGTGACTTGCGCATGCGGGCGTGCGCCCGCATGGGCGAATCTTCCCACTGGCGGTTCGACCCTCCTGCTGCCGCCCCCCTTCCCCCATGCCTGCTCCAGGCTGCCGGTCGCCTGATGCCACGCCCCCCGAGCGTTCCGACACCGCCTCCTCACACACAGCTGCACTCATGTGTTTCGCACCGCCTCCCCAACTT